CCCCTCCAGCAGACGGGGGTCGCCTGCCGTGCCGGGCAGGCCTGGGGCGAGTGGAGCAGCCACCCAGAGAGAGCTTGCTGGGAGCGTGGCTGCTGTGCGGCTGGAGGGCTGCAGGGACTGCACCCCGGCCTCCCGGCTGGAGCAGGGTGGAAGCTCCACTGGTGCCAGGCGTGCTGTGCTCTGCTGGGGTCCCTCAGGCAGTGGGTGCAGGAGCTGCAGGAGGAGGTGAGCAGGCTGGGCTGTGTTAGGGAGGGTGAGCAACAAACAGTAGCATGTGAGACTTGGCAAAAAGAAATACTAGGGCCCTGAGGCATTGACCTGCAAGGACTATCAGACAAAGAGCTTCAACAGCAGACAGACAGCACCTCGGAGAAGGAGGTGCCAAGGTCTCTGGTGACCCATAAGAACAGGCTATCACTTCAGTCTCCTTCCCCATATGTACCAACCAGCAACAGATATGAAGGCGTGGCAAAGGATGAAACCTACAAGCAAAATTCACAGGGAGAAGCCACCCCAACAGCACATATTAAAAGCTGCAAAAGATATGGCGAGTGCTAGTAGTGGGTGACTGCTGACAGGCACCAAGGCACACATCTGCCCGCCTGGTTTACAGTCAAGGGCAGTTTGCTGCTTGCTGGGAGCTGAGATCTGGGATGTCGGAGGGAGATGACTGCCACAGCTGGTTAAAAGCACAGGCTACTGTCACCTGCTTCTTTTCCTGGGCAAGATCAAGCAGGCCTTAAGAGCTCTGGGAGCACAAGAGAGAGACAGGTGTGCAGGTGATTTTTCTTCTCTGTCTTGCCAGTCATAGTCACAGATAGGGGTGCAGGCAGAAGCCGACGTATCATGCAGGTCAATACCTGGCTGGTGGTGTTGCCAGGGCTCTGGTTTTTATGATCGCAGGTTGCTCTTTGAGTGTAGCCTGTTGGGGACAGATGGGATTCACCATTCTAGGAGAGAAAGGAGAATATTTGGTAGCAAATTGTCTTAGTGAATCATACTTTAAAGGTGGGGGGATAGTGTCCAAGTCTGGGGGATAGTGTCCAAATCTGTGACATGTGCTTATTCATAAGCAACAGGGTGAATGAGCACACCTACCAGAGTAGTGAGGAATGTTCCCCAACCCTCTCCAAAGGCAAGAATCCCAAATCCACCCAACTCAAGTGCATGTCTACCAACACATGCAGTCTAGGCAACAAACAGGAAGGACTGGAGCTCCGTGCCCAGTGTGAGACTGATGATGGCATAGGAATCACAGAAACTTGGTGGGAAAACTCACACGACTGGAAGACCCCAATGGGTAGCAACAAACACTTTAGGAAAGATAGGAAGGGAAGAAGAGGAGACAGAGTTGCACTTGATGTGAAAGAGAAGTTTGAATGTATGGAGGTGAGCTATGGAGACCACGAAAGTTCTATCAAATGTTTTTGGATCAAGATTAGAGGGATCATCACCAAGGGGGATCTTACGTTAGATACATTACTGACCTTCCAATCAGGATGACGAGGCTAAAAAAAAAATTACGTTGGCTGTTCAAGGAATTCTGAGGCCAACAGAACCTGGTCCTCGATGGTGACTTCAATTACCTGGACATTTGTTGGGAGAATAACACAGCGGTGCACAAGCTGTCCATCAGGTTCCTGGAATGCATTGAAGACAGCTTCCTGCTACAGCTGCTGGACATGCTGACTAGGAACAATGCATTGCTGGATTTACTGCCTATAAACCAAGATGATTTACTGGACATGAAACCTACCAATGATAATCCTGGGTACAGTGATCACAACACTGTGGGGTTTAAGATTCTGCTGAGAACGCTGAAGACCAGTAGCAGGACAAAGACGCTGGATTTTAGAAGAGCCAACTTCAGTATGCTCAGAGCCCAGCTGTGAGGGATTCCGTGGGAAGCATCCATGGATGGCAAAGGAGATTGTGAGTGCTGGGAGATATTCAAGAACAGTCTCCTGGAAACACAACAACAGTCCATCCACTACCAAAGGAAAGGAGAAAGGCAGAAAAAGAGACCGCCCTGGCTTAACAATGAGCTTTTGGGTGTGCTTAAAAGCAAAAAGGCATAGTGGCTATGGAAAGGCAGCCAAATACCCATTAAGGACTACAGGAACCTTGCTTTGGAGGTTCCCAAGATGCAATAATCTCATTTAGGCTCCCTCTCCTGTGAAAGGTTGGACCAGATGATCTTTTGAGGTCCCTTCCAACCTGGGCTATTCTATGATTCTGTTTTACTTCATTTGTGATAAAGCACTCTGAAGTGCAGTCTTTTAACTTGATGTGACTATCTGTGTAAATCGTATGTAGCCAAAATAACGCGATGCATTGTTTTTTTCCAATATATCCTCAAATTGTTGTTTCTTTTACTTTTGCGTATTATGCTCATTAGAATTCATACTGGATGTTTGCTTAGAGAAGGAGAGTAAATTAATGTTGATGTACTATGAAGGAGGAAAGAAAACTGACTTTTAGATGTTTATTACCTCAAATAAGTATTTTCTGTAAATAACTGTAAATGGTACCTTTTATTTTCCAGACACTATAAGAAGCGTTGTCAAGGCCGGATGCGGAAACATGTTGGTGACCTGTGTTTACAAGCTGGCATGTTACAAGATTCCTTGGTGCATTATCACATGGCGGTGGAGCTTCTGCGGTCTGTGAATGATTTTCTGTGGCTTGGAGGTAGGATTAATGGATGATAGTGAATCAAATGATCAGTTGCTAAAACCAAGTAAATTAAACTATCTTCTATAACTTTTACCCTGTATTGTGAAAATCGTTTTGGTGACCAAAATGTGAATATCAGGTGTGACTAAGAATCAAGTTAAAATAAAAATTACTTAATAAGACATGAGTAAGAAAGGTGTTTAAGAAAACCTGCAACATGAAATGCATTATTGTAGTAAAGCATGTACTTAAAAAAAAATTGTGTGTGACTTTTTAATACTTCTCTGGAAGGTGTTTACTTTTTCAGTGGATTGTATGGATGTCTCAGAAATCTTTCTTGTAGTATCTGCTATGGACTGTTAGCAAAAGATTTTTGTCTTTACATCTACCAAAGCCACAAGTGTTTAACTTCCACTAGCATGACTTCCTTCCGTTCACATTAGTATCTAGGCTTCACTTTTTTCCTGACTTTTCCGTTCTCTTTTGCTTTTCTTTTTCCCCCATCCTTTTTTCTATTTATTGGATATACAGGTGATCTCTGAGCACAGTTTCTGTTTCTTAGTTTAATACACTTGTAGGAAAATTGCTGTCTCCAGTTCCGCTTTTAGCTTTCTCATTCTACTTGGAAATCCGTTTAGCTTCCTGATGGCTCAGTGCGTTATATATTGTGAAAACCACAACGCATTCTGACTTTCAACTTCTGTCCCTCTACTCTTGAAAGAGGTTAAATGGCTCAAGATTCTTCAAGCAGGAAAGGAGAACTTTTCTGCTTTTGCAGGGCATGAAAATATTTTAATACCCATCTGTTGGACTACCAAATTATGGACTCAGAATAATTTGGATTAGAAGTGACCTCTGGAAGTCCCCAAGTCTGATCTCCTTCTCATATCACATCCAGTTAAATAAGGTTGCTCAGGGACCTGTACAGTTGAGTTTTAGATATTTTCAAGGATGGAAGTTTTACAGTCTGAGCAACCTCTTCTAACGTTTTGCTGCTTGTAGTTTGAAAAAACCCAACAACAAAACACGAATTGTTCCTACATTAAAGCAGAATTTCCCATGTCGGCTTGCATTGACCCTCATCCAATCTCTGCAACTCTGAGAAGCATCTGACTATCGCTTCTGTACAGCCTCCTTTCAGGTAGTTGTAGAGAGCAATAAGGTACCCCCTCGGCCTCCTCTTCTCCAGACTACACAGCACCAGTTCCC